GCGACATTATTCACCGGAATTGTTTCAAATTTGGTATTTGCAGTTCGTAATGGGTGCTGCTGCCTGTGACAGAAAATTGTCTATGCTGGTCCAGGTCTTCGCACAGCTCCGATATAACGGTATCTCCCTATATACCATATCCTGATGATTTTAACTACATTATTCACCGTTTACTTCAAGTTTCGAATTTCAATATGGTAATGGCTTATGACAAACAATGCCTATGTAGGTCCACGTCGTATAGACCCCAATATAACGGCTGTATTCGGTAATTTTAAAATTTTAACAGAATTTTTTTAAGATTTTATTTTTTGAAAATTTCCAAATTTGTTCCAAATGATGGAGGGTATTCAAAGTTCGGCCCGGCCGAACTTACTGCTTTTTAACTTGTTGGTTTTGTGGTGGTTCTGTGGTGTGTCATTTTTCTTTTGCCAAATCGTCAGCTTTCTCGTTTTTTCAGTAATGTAGGGACCTGCTACCTACAAGGTACTTTAGGGTCTATTTACTCCACAGGCTTACTTAAGATTTGGATCAAAGATTGAAGAAGATACAGGGGTCTGAGTTTATAATGTATAGTAGACTTACAGGAAGTCGTTAATATATAGATAACTCTTTTACATTTGGTTATTGAGGTGAGTACGGGACGAATATTTTGTTCCCCAAACCAATCCAATACGCCTTGGATTCATTCACCTTTCACTGTTGAAGCCCTGTAGTATATAACATAGTTAAAAAATCATACAAATAAGATGATGAAATTCCATGTATCGGTTTATATCCTATATGAAATTGCTTCCCTGTTTCACTTATTTCAAATATCCCCGAATTTTGGATCACCATACTACCTATGCCTCCCTCATACTCTATAAAAACCTAACATCTCTTTTTTCTATCAATTGCATTGTTAAAATCATGCAATCATGCAATAATTTTTTAATGTGTAAATGAAAGGCGACTTCAAATTACAACAATTTTTTGACATATCAAAGTGATACCAGCTAGCCTGAAAGGGTTACCTTGTTATTCTACCATGGGTAACTTTCATATAACTTCATGCTTTATACTGGTGTGCTGAATACGCTGTTAAAGTAGAAGTATTCATAAAATAATATAGATTTACCCATTTGCCATACAATATTTATTTCGTTCGCCAAATATTTTCTGCCCACCATCAAAATAAAAAAAAGATATAATTTTTGCTGTTTATTCGTTGTTTACATACATATTAAGGATTTCATTTTTTTAGATTCTCCCACAGTATGTATGTAATAAGATTTTAAAATAACGACCAAAATCGAACTGAATATTTATGCCCTTGGAAAACTGTGTATATATTGCCAATCATTTCGAAACAGACCACAAAAGGGCGTTGCCAACCATTTCGAATGAAACAAAATAGAATTTTATTTCTCTCTCACTGTAACACCAATATAAAAATGTTTCATTTCCATGCGTTGCTCACCGGCATTTTCGATTGTTTTGATGCCTGACGTAATTAATCGCAAAGATAGTTTTTTTTTCTCAGTGAGATAAATGTCTGTTTCAGAACCGCAGTGGTTCTCCAACACACACGAAGCGGGTAAGCATCTCACAAATACTACAACAACCATCTCCGATTCTTTTGAAGCCGGCAGTTGGATATATGGCTCAGTTGATTTATTCTCAGATTGTCGCCGGTGGATAAACCAACTGCAAAAATATATTTACAGTAATTGTCGCATAGCTATATTTCTGATTACGAATGCAAAAAAATTCACATTTTTATGCTCTCCACTTTACTATGGATGGTATATTAACTTTGTCATTTTATTTTAACTCTTCGAAAGAGTAATGTTACAGCTTATCTATCTCTGACCGTTTGTCTTGTGTAATCGCTATCTTTCGAAGAAATTGAATTTTCTTATATGTAGATAAATCTTGTCCATATAACTTTGCCTCCAGATTTTAAGAATCATAACGGAATTTTCTAAACTTAAATTTTGGTAATTCTTAATAGAAATTGACTTTTTTTCAAATGAATTGCAATTTTATATAATAAATTTAAATGTGAATGGGATGCAAAAAAGGGGGTAAATACAGTTCCACGATTTAATGTAATACATTACAAAAATAATTGAAAAAGTAAAATATGATATACTGCGTGGTTTTCCGTCAAGCAAAGGCGTCAGATGTTTTAAAAATGATTTTATCGCAATTTAACGATGTGTATTTCCTTTGGTTACATTGTAGCTACATTGTATTTTATAAAAAAAATATTCTATAGTCGCATTTTCCGCAAATCTAATCTTACATTTTTATGCATAAAAATAATTTTGATTAACTTATATTTCTTCGATTTAAATGGCGATAGCTGTGATCGAAAAAGCACGTATGTACTTTACTCATGTATTTCACAGCTTAAATGCCGTCCATGTATTACATCATATGTTCAACTTCTACATATAGAAAATTTGACCATAAAAATGTAAAAAAAAAAACATTGAGTCTGATAGAGCCTTAAATGATGATTTAATTATGATTAAGATTCACATTTAGCCCGCCAAATGTTATTTACTGCTTTAAGTTTTAGCTTGACAATTATCTGCTAATTTTTCACTGAATTAATCACCACATTTTCCTTAGAAGTACTGCAAGTTGTAAGCATGGCACAATTACAGAAATACAGTTTTTTCCCCTAAATACAGTTTTTTCTTTTGGTGCCCTTATTCTGTCAAAACATATAGACATTTTTATACCCTCCACCTTGGAAAGGAGGGTATATTAACTTTGTCATTCCGTTTGTAACATCCTTAAATATTCGTCGTAGACCCCATAAAGTATATATATTCATAATCAGCATAAAATTCTAAGTCGATTTAACCATGTCCGCCTGTCTGTTGAAATCACGATACAGCCCACATTATTTGACGTAGAGCGCCAAAATTTAGCAGAGCAATTGGTATTATGTCTAGGATGGTTGGTATTGAAAATGGAATATATCGGTCCACGTTCTGGTATAGTCCCCATATAACGGTATCTCCCGATATTCGGTATTTTGATGTTTTATGCCACATTTTTTCACGGATTTGTCTGAAAATTTGTATTTGTAGGTCATAACAGGTCCCTGTACGTGTGGAAAAACAATGCATGTATAGGTCCACGTTTTGGTATAGCCCCCATATAAAGGTACCTCCCGATATTCGGTATTTTGATTATTTTTGCCACATTTTTTTCACGGATTTCTCTAAAAATTGGTATTTGTTGGTCATAATGGGTTCCAGCTCCGGTAGCGAAACATTGCATTTATGGGTCTATGATTTGGTATAACCCCCATATAACGGTACCTCCCGATATTCGGTATTTTTATGGTTTTTGACACATTTTTTTCACGAATTTCTATGAAAATTGGTAGTTGTAGATCATAATGGGTCCCAGTTCACGTGGTGAGTCATTGTAATTATAGGTCTACGTTTTGGTATAGCCCCCATATAACTCCCGATATTCGGTAATTTGACGATTTTTGCCACATTTGCCACAAATTGGTATTTGTTGGTCGTAATGGGTTCTAGCTCCGTTGGCGAAACGTTGCATGTGTAGGTCCACGATTTGGTATAGCCCCCATATAACGATACCTCCCGATATTCGGCATTTTAATGGTTTTTGCCACATTTCTTCTAATGTTTCCTTTACCCTAAGGTGGAGGGTATTAAAAGTTTAGCCCGGCCGAACTTAATGTTTTTTAGTTGTTTATATGTGTGTGTATGGTTTGGAAAAAAAAAATACAATAATTTTAAATTATTTCAAATTGATTGACTGTTTTGTTAATCCATCCAAAATTCCATTCTTGTTTTGCCGGTTTTCCCCAATATACGAACTTTAAAAAAAACCCACTGTTTCATATTTAAAAGTCTATTTGACACTATAAGATTCCAGAACAGAGTTGCATTTTCTAGTTTCTTTGAAGTTGAGCAACCTTTCTTATTGAGCCTTGGTTGTATGTATTCTTTCCAAGTTCTACATGTTTCCTATAGCTTTTTTTTAGATGTGATATGTTTAAACTTGCATAACTTGGTGAGATTTTAGCTGAAACGTGCTGGTAACTTGCAATATTTGGGAAAGCTAGAAGAGTGTGCGATTCTCATTTACTTAAGAATACTCCTTACAAAAAAAAATTGTTTTTCACCAGTCGTATCGAAAGGTTGAAAACACCAAGTGATCCTCTCCTTCACCGGGATGATAACATGAGTTTGCTAACGATTTTTTGGTGCCTCTATTCTGTCAAAACATATTCACAGTTTGTTTTGAATAATAAAGAAAATAACGTGATAATTCTATTGCAACTAAAATTCAAATTTTCGACCTTACTGTGCGTGTGTTTTTTACCAATATAAGTAAAATTGTTAAATTGACAAAACCAATTGTTGCATGTTTTAATAGTCTTTTTGACGCAATGAGACTTCAGCACAGAGTTGAATTTTTCCTATTTCGTTTTGAAGTTGAACTACCTTTCTGGTTTTGCCATAAGTTAAATTCAGGCTAATTCATTCAGACAAGTATGAAAAACATAAAATACAGCGAATTTATTTCATATTCGAGTTAACATCCCCACTTTCATGTGTTCCAAGACGGCATAAATAGTTACCTTTAGTTTTAACATAGTAACATACATCGTCTCGTTCGTGCTAGAGGGCTTTCATAGACAAAACGTAAATTATAATGGAATAAATAATTTTCTTAGCGAAATTTTATAAAAAGATAGCTGACGTTGTATTAGAAGGTAATATAAATTTCTTTTTACAATAGTGCCAATATGAATTGTGCACCCACGCTATGTACATTATTTAAAAATTCTGCTTTGGACCACTGTACTTCGACTTGTTCCTGTGTTAGTTGCGTGAGAGTATCTGTGTACGATGTGCGGAAGGTTGATTGGCATTGAAACATCGTAGTTGTGAATGTGTGTATCTGTGTGGCGTTCTGCCGAAGGTAGTGTTTTGTATTCTTCCAAGTTTGTTTTCATATCGACAAACTTCAGTTGTCTCAAATACATGCCAGATGTTAGAAGCATTTGCCGGTCGTTTTATCCGAAACTAAGGGAGAAACAAAATTGTGAATAATTTACAGCCAGTAGTGTCGGGTTTTGTGCGGGTGAATTGTAAAGAAAGAAGTCTCAAAATCACATCGCAAAAATAAAAGTGCACGGAGCTTTAACTCAGTCTTCACACACCCAATACCCACAGCTGATAAAATTTATTTCGAAAAGAAAAACGTGAGTGAGTGAGTGATGTGATTAATTTTCCTTCCTTCCGGAAAGGTGACTAAAACAATTTCGTGTGGCCCAAAAATGGTGTTTTTCCATGAATTTTCCTAGCAAAAACACAAGTGTTCGGTTAATATTGATTTATGTGAATGTGAATTTGTAAATATTTATGTCATGAAGTGTAGCGCAGAGATTCGTCATAGACACGTTGAACTCCACAAGTGACGTAGGCAAACCGACACCGCGAGAGATTCTTTTAATTTGTGTTTTCGCAAAAATAATTTATCTGAAGTGGCTTCTTTTTCCCTCGTCCATTTCCTCATTACGCCACTACCCGTATGTTGTTGTTGTTATTGTGAGTTTTGTTCATTTGGCTAACACAAAATTGTGGAAGGCAAACACTGGAGGCTACGAAAAACACAGATCTGTCTCCATAATCATAAAAAGTAGCGTGAACATAAACATACGTGAACCGCACACACAAACAAGCCCAAAATTTTTACTCTCGGACCTGGCAGGCAGGCAGACAGGCACATCATGTGTTTATGTTGAATTCTTTTTTGGCCATTTATTTCTGCACGATTTTGTGTATCTATATACATACGACGATACACATGTGTAGTCTGTCCGGACGATACAGACGAGTGCTCTCGGCAAAAGATTTCTGAAACTGAGTAGCAGTAGAACGTTCAAAATCCACCACTGTGGGCATGTACAGATGTTTGTGTACAAACTACATCTGTATGTCAGTAGGCATGTACGTAACTACAGTTAGAAAGTATGTACTACATTCTTACAATGTGGGCATTGAGACAGAGACTTGTTGCAGCTTCTCTTACCAGCACAATTAATGTAGTTTACAAAATTACACAGGCACATAGATACATACGCGTGTGTGTGTATATGTATATAAATACTCAGTAGATACATTCATCAATGCAACAACTAAAGATAAATAAACGACTCGTGCACGAAAGATAACATGGATTACTTTAAGGTTGTTCGGTGAGCACAGGCGAATTTAAACAATAACACGACATCCTCACGTTCCCTCCACGCACCCCCATAACCATACTCGTCCCTTTGAAATCCTGTTTGTTATTCTTTGGTGTTGTGTTTTCATTTTTCAATGAAACGACGAAGGCGGTGGCATCATTCTCCGTGGAACATCTAGGTGACTGGGGGATTGTTTGATTGCCTTCCCATTGAAGCGTGGTGATGTAATTCAGTAAAATTACAACGGTAAATAGTGTTGTTGTCAACCGAGAATAACGAAGAGAATTCGCAAATGTTTTGATTTTGGGATTTGCAGAATTTAAAACCGTTTAAATGTAGGGGAGAATATTTTGTTTGAACATCATGTTTTGTTTCTAATTTCTAATTGTGTTGTGTTCAAATAACCAATTCAAACTGTGGTGGTTTAATAGTTAAGCAGATGTGGAACTTAGCTTCAGGCAGGATATAGCTGCTAATAAATGTCTAGAAATCATTAATGAGTTGTATGCATCCATGTGTAATTATGTGTGTAGGTATGTAAGTACACCTGTAAAAAATTTGTAAGCACATGTATCACCTTTGGCACTGCAAGTAATGACAACTATATACCCTTTGCTTCATCAATGAACTGAAATATAAAGGGCAAACAAGCCAAAAAACACGAACAGTTTATCTATATATATAAATGTAAGTTGTGTTAGTTACTACGCTTATAACTTAAGAACCGCTGGATTAATTTTAACGATTCACACAAATTCGGAGTTGTCTACTCTCCGAAAAGGATAATATCCAAAAAAATCGCGTAAAAATGTGATATATTAACAATTTATTTTGACTTTTGAAATGTACAATAGTAATGTTTTATTTTGCATGATTTTTTTCCATTTTGACTTACTTTTTTCTAATGTACATTTGTAGTGTTTTTTTATATTTTATTTTTGAATTCGAATATTTATACCAATTTATAATTGACTTGATTTCTTGAGAACTGAAATTGATGGCGGGTTACATGGAAGTGTAGTAGCGAATTATGTGGTGGCGAAACGGAATAGATGATATCGAAATAATTTAACGCGGTCACACCAAAGTTAAAAGATAATTACTTTTTCTAAATCGCTGAAAAATCATGAAAAAGAGATCTCATTGCAAAAATCAAAAAAAACATTTTCAATGGAATCGAATTTTAAAGTAATAGTACATTCTATTGACAAACTTTGTAAGGAAGGATCTTAAAACATTTGCTGTAAAAAATCAGCGAAAAAGTTGAAGACTTTTTCAATTTGTTATTCTTTTTTTTGTCAATTTTTTTTTTCAATTTGTATTATCATATTGAATTCAGTGGATTTTTTGTGAACAAAATAAAGAATAATTTTTCACTAAAAAAATGAAATAAGTGCGAAATAGGATGTTAACTGACATCTACCTTTCAACTCCAGGGCCTACATCGTGGGTTAGCTGAAAGATGCGAACACATTTAAACAAACAAAAATGACCGAAAAAGCTTAATGGGGCTCATTTCAAAGCGTGACAATGATCCGTCCAATGAGAGCTCAAAATGCAAAATTCTTTGGGAGAATAATAAGTAATATACCAATATTGAAATAAAAGGTGCAAAATAGTAGAGCGAATGGGACTTTTAGTAAGAAAAGGTTTTATATCCTTCCAGAAATTCTTCCCAAACATTCAAAATACCTAAAATCACTTTTGCAGGTCTTTATATCGATCATAACTCATGGATAAGGGAACAACCCGATTTCATATTTATATAACCATCTATGATTTAAGTTATTTTTGGGGTCTTGGCCGGCCACTTTTTTCATTTTTTGGCCCTTATTTGACATTTTTGTTTCTAAGGGGGTAGATAACCTCTTCGCATAAAATTTGAAATTTTCAGAGTAGGGCCCATATTGGTATTGACCAAATTCATCAATTGATTTGGCTAAAAAATTTTATTTATGCCACCCTGGGGTAGGGAACCATCATACAGATAATTGCCACATAGGAATTAATTTAAGTAAAGTCCCCACATTGGAGTATCCCCAAGTCCACTTTCACATCTAATGTGTGGTCAGAAAAGAAAATTTTGTATTCTATTCAATTTTTAACCCCCAAGAGAATATTGGTTGGGAACGTAGATTTGGGATGTGCATCCATATGAAATAAATTGTGGAAACATGAACAAATTACAAATATAAGAAAGTAGCACGGGACCGAATATTTGTTTAATCATCATTGAATTATCCTATGATGAAAATATGGACTTTAAGGGGTCTCCAACTTACAATTTAAATGACAAATAAAATTAATTCCCATCTTATCATTCTGCCCTCAATTATGAGGTGGATAAAACTATTTTTACTTATTTAAATCACGCGAAATGCTATGACATGCTATATTGTTCTGCTATATTTTTGATTTGGCCTCTATTTGTCATCTTGGATTATAAGGGGTAGAAGAAAGTTTTCAATGTAGGTCGATGTTTCGGAGTAGTGCCCATATAAAGAAGGTACCTCCTAATTTAACCACATTTCAAAGAATTTGGCTAATAATGCGTATTAGGGGGGTGAAAATCTTACACTAAAATTTCAACATATCTACAAATTTTAGAATTTTTATCCATGTTATAATACCCTCTCAAGTCCACCTTTTGGCGGACAAACAGACTGACATGGTTAGGGGGACTTATGAGGACTCTAATGCACAATCTAAGTCGCTAATGGGTTTAAAAAAGTAATTAACTTTGGCTATTCTTAAATCATTCAGCCCTCAATTATGTAGTATACAAAATACATCAAATTCCAAATTACTGCTCATTTGACTGGAAGATTTTGCTACGATTTTTACCATATTAAAAATAAATTTGATCCCTTATATGGCGATAAGATTGATATATACTTTTTAATAGATTTGTATAGCACATCCACACAGTTGAAGCCCACGGTTTAAATATTGAAGCCCACTGGTTAAAAATGGGTACAGGTATTTTAAAACACTTTAAATCGACCTGTACGTGAATAATTATGCTTGGGAATATATGCATAATAGACAAAAACTACGGGCCGGCAACGCGGACCGGGCCAGCTAGTATTATATATTTATTTTGTAAGAAGTAACAGGATACAACATGTACTTAAAACAAGTAAAAAACATCAAGCTCGGCCGGAACCAACTCTTAATAACCTCCACCATTCGGTAAAGAAAGCATTATCTAAAAGTATCTGAATTCAAACGTGTTCCACTTTAAACTAAATGTACCAATAAGACCGTTAGAATGAAATGTGTGAAAAAAATGTGGCAAAAATCATGAAAATACCGAATAGGTGGAGGTATTGTTATATGGGGGCTATACCAAAACGTGGACCAATATATCTCATTTTCAATACCAACCATCTTAGACACAATACAAATTGTTCTTCTAAATTTAGAAGCTCTACGTCACATACTGTATGGATTTAGAATTTTATGCTGATCATGAACATATATATTTACTTTACGGTGTCAACGACGAATATTTAGGGATGTTCCAAACGGTATGAGAAAGTTAATATATTTAAAAGGTGGAGGGTATAACAATACATAATTTAGTAATGGGCTTTTTGGTTGGATAGGCAAATATGGTGACATCATTTTAGGGCAAAACTAGTAACGAAAGACAAAAATCGGGCGGTGCCGACTTTTTGATACCCAACACGACTATGATTATTTAGAAGAGTAACCTTTGGAAAATAAACATTTAAACTAAAAATATAAGTATTAATTGCCTAGTAAGTAGGTGAGCGATCTATATTTGAATTCGGTTGATTATAAAAAATGAAATCTATACTCTCATCGATTTCCTCCAAACTTGAGCGAGTTAACTTTTTGTTGTATATGAACTCTCGAACCTCATCACTCATTTGGAAAGCATTATGCGGTCTATCACATACTCTCCGGTCTGCATCAATATCAACAGTTTGACCTTATATTTTGGTTTACAATCAACATAAACAAAAAGTACTAGTCATATGGATATGCGTAAGTA